GGGACTGTTAGAGGTGCAGCCCCACCTGGTCTCAGCCCCCAGCCCCTGCCAACACTGCTGACTGCCCTGCGTGGCTCTCGGAACTCTGTTGAAGGTCACCCTCCCTTAGAGAGACCTGGTTTTCTGGAATTCCTCAGCTGTGACAGCTAAAAGGGGAACCGCTTTTCTTCTTCCTTCCTTCAAACATCACCTTTCATTCTCACAGAATACTGATCAAACACCATCCTGTTCAGGTGAGCTGAAATATCAATCCAGAGACAGGTCTTTAAGAAGGAATGTCATCAGGAAAGCTATAGGGAAAGCTGACTTTTAACCCTCAATGATGGAAAAATACAGAGCTTCACGGGGCCACAGGTCAAGTTCAGTACTTGGTGTGTTCTTAGCAGGAAGTGGCTCGAGACTGCACACTGACTCAGAGCCGTATTGCAGGCCGCAGAGCGTGACTGAAGTCCCTGCAGATGACCCCACGACCCCGCTCATCTGTGGGGATCCAGTCTGATGCAGTTTCTGGAGCGCCGGCTTCTTAGGTGGCACTAGTGGTAAAGAACCCACCTGCCAATGCAGGAGATGCAAGAGATGCAGGTTGGATCCCTGGGTCGGGTGGGGAAGAGCCCCTGGAGGAGGAAATGGCAGCCCACTCCAGTATTCTTGCCTGGAGAATCCCACGGACAGAGGAGCCTGGTGGGCCACAGAGAGTCGAATGTGACTGAAGCGACTTAGCATGCATTCTGTGGCACACTCAGAGTGCCCGCGTGACATTCGCCAAGAGGGGAGGAATAGAAAGAGCAGGGAAGACAGAAGAGGCAGGTTAACCAGATGTAGCGGTGAGAAGTGGCTCCTGTCGCTGTAGTTAGAGAAGCGCATGGGTCTTGCTGACTCGGAGGGAAAGAAAGGTCGGGCTGGCCCCCTCCCGTTTCCAGCAGAGAGAGCAGGAGATAAGCCGCTTTGGCTCCCTGGCCCCAGAGGAAGTGCATCTGCAGCCCCGCTCCAGGACACTGCTGGGGCACACAGGCCAGGCAGGACCGGCTCCCAGCCGGGGACAGGCCTTCTGGGCTTAAAGCTCAGCTTCAGGAATGGCCAGGGCCAGACAAGCTTCCTTCTCGTCCTTTCTTTTCTTAAAAAAGTAGGCAAGGACCAGTTCTCCACGAGCCTCACAGACACGAAATGAGCACCGAACAGATTGAGCCAACCTACGGAGCAGTAAGCTGATCAAACAAAAAAGGCAAATTCAAGTCCTGCCATCTCGGCTCTACAAAGGAGCACACTTGTCTTCATCTCTAAGAACATTAAGAAGGTCCCATGGCTTCCAGATCTGCCATGTCCTCCTCCGTGATCCAGGCCCTGGTTCCAGCACGTCAGGCAGCACACCGTCAGCACGGGATATCCTGTGTCAGCCGCCCTGGGGATGCATGTTTGGGGTTCTCCGGGTACCACGAAGGGAGGAGAGCAGACTCCAGCAAGGCAAAGTGGGCGTGACCCAGCAGGCCTGCAGAAGGTCCCTGCTTCCGTCAATATCTTGGGGAAAGGAAAGTGGGAAATCTTATTTTTTTTGAACACTCTTACAAAATATGCTTTTTAGATAGCGTGTTCGGCTCAGTTGTGTCTGACTCTTTGCGGCCCCATGGACTGCAGCCTGCCAGGATTCTCTGTCCATGCGCTTTCACGGGCAACGATACTGGAGTGGGTTGCCATCTCCTTCTCAATTTCTAAATGGCACAGGTAACAAATCCAGTTGTAAGGACTAAAACTTATTTCTTTCGTTTTCCAATTCTTACTTAACATTCACTAGGAAGATGGCATTTGCATTTCAGGCTATCTTACTCCATGAACACGACTCATTTGGAGTGCCTACCCCTCTCAAGCTGAAGCCAACTTGGCTGCAAATATGTCATCTACCGAGCAAAGCAACAGGCTGCATACTAGCAGCTAGAGACACTGCCCCTCCTTCAGTGATGGGGAAGGGATACCAAGCCAGCCCCAGACTCCAGCTGCCATCCCCAGGGCGTGTGCTGCCAGGCGCGGACGAGAACAGTCCGTCTCCTGAATAAGAACGAGTCTGTCAAACTGAGACAACGGGAAGTTACCTTAGGGAACACAGAGAAAATGTAAACATATTCTAAAATGACAAAATGTTAAGACTGAGGCAAGAGGGATGTCCCTGGTGGTCCACTGGTCAGGGTTCCGTGCTTCTACTGCAGGGAGCACAGGGCTGATCCCTGGTGGGGGAGCTAAGATCATGTGAGCTTCGAGGTGTGGCAAGCACCAAAATAGGAAAATGCTGGGTAACCACTGAGCAAGTAAACAACGGTGACAACCTGGGGGCGGGATGAGGTGGGAGGGACGTTCAGACGGGAGATGTGCATGGCACAAACCCATCCGACACAGTAAAGCAATCGCCCTCCAATTAAAAATAAATTAAAATTAAAGCCTGAAAAACACCACTGTCCTGAGCTAACATTATCTAAGTTACAACCAACAATAAGGTAGCAGGTAAGTATAGGCCTGCCAGAGTCAAATGCAGATGACACATAGCAATTGTAACAAGCAGTTAGCTCACTGCAGACACACTTATATTTGAAATGGCTTTGGTGAATTAACATACGTAAATATAATAGGGGAACTCATTAACGGGATCTGGTTTAACTCTTCAAAGCAAAGAAGAGCACAGGGACTTTGCTGGTGATCCAGTGGCCAGGAGTCCCAGCTTCCACACTGCCCGGGGCACAGCTTCCATCTGGTCGGGGAACTGAGATCCTGCAAGCTGAGAGGCACAGTCAAAAAAAAACAAAACAAAACAGAATAGCACACGTTCACTACTATAATTTGGTTTGTAAATCCTCACTTTCAAATGTTAAGGAAGTTCACAGGACAGATAAAAAAAATGGCTAAAATGTGTTGGAAAAAGTGCTTAACCCCACACAGGAGATGAAACTTGAAAGAAGCTCCTTTCATCTACCAGAGCAAAAATGCAGAGGATTTATTTGCAATATCCAACATTGGTTTAGAGTGAAGAGAAAGTGGTACTCTCACATTGATACTGAAATACAAATTGGAACCTTTCTGGAGAGCAACTTAGCTGTGCTTATTAAAGTTTAAAATATATCCACACACTTCTAAGTATCTATTGCAGACATGCTTATACTAGAGCCCAAGGATACTGACAGCTTCATTAAGTATCTATTGCAGACATGCTTATACTAGAGCCCAAGGATACTGACAGCTTCATTTGCTAAGAACTTAGAAACAATTAAAATGTCCCTCAGTAGAGACAGGTGAATCAGTCTGATGCTTCCACACATGCACCTAAATAAGGCAGAATTGACATTCTGAGAGAGAAGCATTTCCCCAAACCCACTGCCTACTGCTGGAAAAATGTATAAGAGTGATTGAAAATTCAGATCTTTTTAAAAAGTATGTGTAATTTAGTGACTGCATGGATGTCTGAAGTTATGCCTGAGGGAAAAGAAAACAAGGATACAATTTCATTTTTATACAGTGTTTGTACAATTTACAAGCATCACTTTTATAACTGAGGTAAAAGGGGGCAATGCTGACGTGAGGCCAGTGACCTGCTAATCCACCGAAAGCTCCGCAGACGCTCCCTAGGAACCCAGTGGGGTCCTGCCGTGGTCAACACACCCGCTCTCCAATTTCAACAACAAAACCTGCAGGTCTGAAAAGGGTCAACTTTATTATCCCAGATTCTTTGTCTGTAGAAAAGGACCATTTTTTAAATAACATACCCACTTCCTCTTGTACATTATTTAGGACATTTAGTAAATACCTTTCCTTATGAGTTTCCATAGGTCTCCACTCAAGCACATTACCAAAAATGACAGGAGAAGGAAATCACATTGGGCCCGGAATCACAAGGTTACATCCTTAAACTCCATGTTCAAAGAGTTCAAATGATGCCTCCGAAGCTCAGGCCTACAATTCTGAGAACCGGAAAGAGTCACATTTCCTCCTATCTCTAAGACACACGCTCCCTCTTTTTCAAAGGACTCTCTGGATTACTCTCCAAATAAGTTTATTCAACAGGGGTGTTAAGCACAGTGTGAAGAAAAGTGGAATGCTGATGGGTAATGCCGCAAAATATCTGCATCTAAAAATGTTTAGGAAATGTATATAAGAAACACATTCACAGTGTGTGGAAGGTTTTGAAAGGTGACCAACTTACTAGCACAATTTTAAAGTCATAAAGAGTACACCTGCGTGTCTCTAATGCGCTTAATATTGAACAGTGTTAAGATAATATTTTCCAGGCTAGAATGTACTTTCCACTTGCCCTAATAAACCGAAGCCCAGATGGGAAATGTAACCAGGACTAAGTAAACACAATACAGAGTGAGGAGAGCTAATGACCTAGGATGCCTTCACGAGCAATAAAACATTCAAAAAAACCAAGTTTCAACAGACAGAGGGTATGAAAACCTGGGCCTCTGGAGTGTGTGAAGTGAATGCACCTTCAGAGGAAGTGCGTTTCTGTGGATGCGGCCGAGAGCGCCAGATGCTGTCACAAAGCCGACGTGAGGGAGAGGCGTGCCTCCTGAAGCAGCCTTTGAAACATGCAGACGTGATTCTGGCTGACAATCCACCATCAGAACCCCCAGGCACCTTACTAGGGTGCTGTACGGCCCACAGTGAGAAGTCCAACCCAGTTCCTAGTAAAAGACGGACTGAAACAGGAAGAACAGCCACACAAACACAAAGCGATTCCATTTTTTTCTGAACACCCACACAAAGACAGCAGTTTCTGACAAGAACGTTCTTGGCAAAAAAAAAAAGTTACAGGAAGGTTTTATTTTCTTGAAGAAAAAGGCAGGTCTATACGCAGATTACCAGGCAATACCAAATGGTGTTTATAGCCTTCACATTTTGAAAACATCTGAATGTGTTTTTGCTTTTTTATCAAATAAAAGATGACTGGAAACACTGTTCTTGTCTGGAATGCTTATTTCTTGTTGTACTTGAAAATAAAATCCAACATGGCAGCTTACCTTGGCACTGGAAGCCTTGTTTCCCAAACCCCCTGAAAAACAAATAAGAAAAATTTCTTATTTTCTGTTGACACCATATCTTAAGCCAGTTATATGACAAAGCATTCTACAGAAGTAAAAGTTTGCATGTGAAATCCAATGATTTGACAGGAAAACATGCCTAAACAGCTCAAAGTGCAGAGTCAAGTCATCTTTGAAAAGATATGGCCTCCAAAGTCTCACTGAACTCATTTCAACATATTCAAGGTTCTTGCCAGTTTTTTTTCCCTAATATTTTATCAGTACTTAATTTAAGAACATGACTATAAAGTTGTTGGCTACGATATCCAAGTAACAAGAAGAACTTTATGGTTAAAAAATCAAATCTACAAAGATGGCTGAATTTGGTCCCTAAAGACCAACTGAAAATCTTTTTGCCCTAAAAACAAACAAGTGGCTTCATCATTTGTTATGAAGTATTATTTACCTAGAAATTACCACGTAGCACCACTCTTAACACTAAATTTTGGCTTAATTAAGAGCCAGATTTTACAGTGTCATCCCTATTGTTTGCATGTGAGATTATGATCTAATTTTACCGTGAACTAACAGCATTCAAAGCACATTCAGAAGCTATATTGCTCTTGTAAATTACTTTAGAGAATTTACTCTCTAAGCAGAGAACTCCGACATGGACATTAAATTGCAAACACCATTTCAACTAGGATGAACTACATTAAAATTCTCAGAAGGTTATGAGTCATAATCTCTTGCTTTACATAGCATTTTAAATTTACAAAGCACTTCACATATCTTTATAATTAACTTAGTCACTCCCCACCCCCCCCCAAAAATTTAAATGCAAACAGTTTTAAAATATCAGTGCTTTAATATTTGAGTTGTAAACTAGGGAAACAGAAGAAAATTGAAAAATTAAAACCACGGCTAGACCGTGCTGGGGAATATTTTCCTGGAACTTCCAAGGGGCTGCTCTGCAGCGAAGTGGAGAAGAGGAGTATCGACTATGGGGAAGAAGAGGACAAGGAGATCTTTATTTCCACTTCATGCTACACCTGGTGACCCAACAGGCCACATCAGTTCACAGGGGCTAACAAACGACAGTGCAAAGTCTTCAGCAAGTCTGGATGTATAGGTTGCAAGTGTCTTTTCTACCTTACCCTCGTCCTGCAAAAGTAATCGGCAGTCTGTTCTGTTTTAATGGAATTTCACAGCTGACGTGAAATTCACGTGAGGCCGAAGACCTCCCCTTAACTAAATGCAATCTCTCTGCCTTGAGGCTCCAAGAACTGATGCTAAGCAGTCTTGTCTACATTGACCTGGGAGCTCAACCGCTTCAGGCGCCTTTGACTACACCTCGGAAATCATTCAGAGAGGTGGCTGCGCTTTATACGTAAGTGCGCTTTGGAGTGGATTTCTAAACAGAAACGAAGGCATTAAGCACCTTATTAGCACATTTGTGGGCTTTCCCTTAAAGATTCCCCCGGGTGTGACGGGTTCAGACAAAGCCGTCCGTAAGGGAGAAGTTAGGCACCCATTAATTAGCACGTTTGCGGGACTCGCCCTTGGAGACGGTCTCCCCGTGCGAAGCATTCAAGCAGCGTTCTCCCAGGAGCCCCACAAGACCCAGGAGCCACACAACGGCTGGGCAGCCACCCGACGCCGCCACCCCCGGGGTAGGGGAGTTAAGGAGGCCTAGACGGCTCCGACTAGGTGGGCGAGGGGCTTCCTACATACAAGCAGCAAGAGACTGAATGGGTGGAGGTTGGCAACGCAAGAGGAAAAAACACTAACGCTTCTCCAAGTGAGGCATCTGCGCTGCCTTTAGTTTCAGCTTTCTTAAAACAACTGGAGGAGAGGGGTCATCAACCTTTTTAAAGTCAGTCAAAGTCATCACCGTCTCCCCAGAAACAAGCACCGCGCGATTCCCCGCTGGCTTGGCGGGATCGGGGACCCTGCAACCTGTCCGGCAGCCGCGGCGCGTAAAGCGCGGCCCGGGGACACCGCTGCCTGGAAGTTACCTGGGCTCGGCGGCCGCAGGCCGGTGGCAGCCCCGGGCAGGCCTGTGTCCTCCCGGCCCCGCGCGGCCCGGGTCCGCTCCAGAGGCCGCCCGCGCCCCCGCCCCGCCGGCCGGCCGGCCGGCCGCCGCCCTCCCCGCGCCCGCCTCAACAGTTTGCCGCCGCTCCTCCCGGCTCGCGGGCCCGGCCCGGGGAGAGGTCCGCGCGCGCGGCGGGGCCCGGGCAGCCTCCCAGGGCCGCCCTCCGAGTCTCCGGCCAGGGGAGACGTCCGCGCCCCGCCCGGGGTCCCGCCGGGAGCGGACTCTCCGCGGGGCCGAGCGAGGCTCCGGGCGAGTCCGGGGGCGGCGCGCACCCACCAGATGAAGTCGGTGCAGTGGCTGCAGAAGGTGGGCTGCTTGAAGAAGCGCGCGATGAAGCGGTGGTTCTTCACCTCGTGCACGTTCTTCTGCCTCAGCGCCCCTTTGCGGGCGAAGCGGTTGGCCACGTCCTGTGGCGCCGCCGGCTCGGCGGCCGGGAAGACCTCAGCCATGGTCCCCCGCCACCTCCTGCCGCGCCGGGTGCGGGCGGCGGCCGAGGGCGGCCGGGAGCCGGGCGGGCGCGGAGCGGAGCGGAGCCGCGGGCTCGCTGTGGCCGCTCGGCTCTGACGGCGGCGCCGGCGCTCGCGCTTCCTAGTCGGGCTGCGGGGGCGGCCCGCCCACCGCGCATGCCCGAGCGGGCCCGGCAGACAGGGCGGGGGCGCGCCGGGAGCCCCGGGCGCGCGCGGAGGGAGGGCGGGGCCGCGCGGGCGGGCCGTGGGGGCGGGGGCGCTCAGGGGGCGGGGACGCACGGGAGGGCGGGGGCGCGCGCGGAGGGAGCCGGCGGCCCCTCGGCGCCCGAGCCACCCAGGAAGCGCCCTCTCCCGTTCCCCCGGGTTGGTCGGGCTCCTCCCTCCCGCTCTCCGCTCCTCCCGCTCCAGGCGCAGCCCGGCGTCCCGGGCCGGCTCCTGGCCGCGCCCCCTTCCAGGACCCAGCGCGGTCCCGGGACGGACGCCCGCGCCGCTCAGAGGCTCAGCCCCTCCGCGGCCTGCACCCTGTGCCGCCTGCGGCCCCGCGCCCCGTGGACACGTCTGATGTGTCGGGACCGCTAGGGGACCTGTCCTGGCTGTTCACCCCGTTACCCGTTGGGTACCACGCTTACAGCGTGGGTGATCAGGTCTTCTTGACTTTACAAGCCCCGAGCCTTAATTTAAACACGGTTTTGCAGCCTAAAGCTGATGACTGCCCTACAGGCAGGTGCCGAGCACAGCCAGTTCGTTTGTAAACTGCAGAGTGGAACTGCCCCGTGACAGCGTGGCTGGCACGGACCGGCGAGGCACGCGCGTGGGGCTGGACCGACTGGTCACTTGCTGAATGCTCGTTAACTCTGCCCGAGGATGCTAAAATACATGAAGGAAAGGTTTCATTGTTTTATTTCATTGTCAGATTCGCTCAGATCAGAAATTAACGCATGTATTAAAAGGAATATGTTTAATCCTTCAAGAAGTTAGGAAAAGAAACAGAGAAGGAAGGAAGGAAGAAATCTTTCCTAAGATCTATACTATCTTAGAGTACATAGGCCAAGTAGGGCTACCTTTTTTTAAGATTGCTCAGTTGAACGCCTGTTGGTAGGGATGTCTTATGTTCTGACAGCGGTAATGACGGCCCTTAACGGGGCGTGTACTGCCAGCTCTCACTCACAATCTTTCTGGCCAGTGTTCTTGGAGCTTAAGAACATTGCACCGCTTGCTCTTCTGGCCAGAAACTTCACTTTTGGTGGGGCCCGCAGTCCAAGGTGGGGCGGGGGCTTCCCAGGTGGGACTAGTGGTAAAGAACCCACCTGCCATTGCAGGAGATGCAAGAGACATGGGTTCCATCCCTGGGTCAGGAAGATCCCCCTGGAGGGGGGCATGGCAACCCACTCCAATGTTCTTGCCAGGAGAATCTCATGGACAGAGGATCCTGGTGGGCTACAGTCCATGGGGTCGCAAAGAGTTGGACACGACTGAAGTGATGTAACATGCATGCCAGTTCAAGGAAGCAAAAAAAGGAAGATTCAAGGAAAGGAATGAAAAGTAGGGAATGTAGAAAAATAGAGCAAGTTCTCCACAAAACACTATTACCATCTCAAGCACGGTCGTGTATTGCTTAATACTTTTAAGTTACATAGAAAAATCATGGTGCTTTTAAGTACTTGTAATTGATGGTCAAAAGAAACACACATTCTTGCCTCAAAACCACCTGGATCTAAGACAGTGTATGAAGACAAGGTGTTGTTTCCCTGAAGCTCTGAGGTTAAGACGGAAGAAAAAATGGGAGAGCTGGGAGGAGGGGTGGTAGGTGAGAGTGACATCTGAGCAGAGGGTCAGGGAGGTGAGCTAAGAGCCCAGTAGACCTTGCAAGGAGTCCGCTGTCAGGGTGGAGAGACCAGAGGCAATATCTCATTTCTCTCGGGCTGTGGTTTTCCTTTCTTGCCTCCCTTATTACTGTTGTTCCCTGTGAGCAGGGAGAGAACTAACTGGAAGTTTCTTGAGTGATGACTGAGCGCACGCCTCAATTGCCTACAGCTGTGCTCAGTTCTGGGGCGGCGGGGATGCACCTGGGCGGAGTCCTCGAGCCGTGGAGCATTGCCCCGGCAAGGCAGGTGGGGGCGCGGGTCACACGTGGCCCTGAAACCCAGCCAGGCCCTGCGGGGCTCCCGGGCACTCACGCCCTTCTGTGTCCCCATTTCTTGGTTAAAGGAAAGTCTTCACTCAGCCCGAAGGACCTTCCCTGAGTTCCAAAAGGTAAGTTCAAATAAATAAAGCTGACTAGGGAAGGAAGGGGATGTGGAGACAAGGGAGGCGCCGTGGAGAAGCAGGTCAGCTGTGGGCAGGTTCTCTGCCCCCCACCCCCAAGGTCACCCAGAGCGCTATCTTTGAGCTGGTCTGAGGGTGCGGAACCCCCGGCAGGGGGGCGCACCTAACGGCATGCTGCCTTAGATGTAGGCACGCAGGCACTTAGATCCCAGACCCGTCCGAACCAGGAGGCTGATGGTGTTGCTGGCCCAAGTCTTGGCTTTCTCTGCCCACTGAAGCTGAATAAAAACACACGGAGACAAAGTTTGGAGGAAATAGAAAGCCGGCCGCAATCCTCAGCCAGCAGAGAGGGGAGCCCCGTAGGCTCGTGGCTCAAGAACAATGCTCCCCATGAGGAGCCCAGGGGCTTCCATGAGAAGAGGGCTTGCAGTAGTTGGTGAGCAGGAGGAAAGGTGTTTGGCTCTTGATGTCTTCCTGTCACATTGTTTCAAAGACAGTCACTGGCTGGCATCAGTAACCCAATAATTGAGTCTGGCAGTTCGGTGGCTCTGTGGCCTTCTTTCTGATGTGTAACTACGAGGGGAAGGGTGTTGTAAGGGTAAACACTAGGAATGCAGAAAAGTAAACTTAGATACAGACATGCAGTTAGGAGCAGTTAAAGTAAAAAAACCAAAAAACAAAAAAAACTAGGACTGTTCAGGCCTGTTCTGGTTATCTTCTTTGTTCTCAGGATTGAGAAAGAAAAAAACTCATTCCTTTTTTTACTCTGTCACTGCAACAACGGTTCCAACTCCTGGTTACCCCAGCACCCGTCCATCAGAAGGCTGTTCACGGGCTGATCACGCCCTCTGTGAAGCGTTACTATAAAGCTCCCCACTGCCCCTTCCAGGTCTTACACCAGTTCTGAGGGCATGAGGCCACTGTGGCACCCTCTGCCTGGCAAAGCAATAAAACTACTGTACGTCACCCCAGGCTCTGTCTCTGAGATTTAATTCCGTGGCCAGTACAGAGACCAGATTCGGCTTTAGCCCCTGCAGCCCGCCTGGCAGGGTCTGCACACAGTCACTAAAGTGGAGGGGTTTCCAGAAAGAGAGACCCCTGTGCAGGGGGAGGGTCAGTGAGACGTGGTGGCAGTGATGGTTTTAGAGTCTGCTGTTTCCTGGGGAAGGCACGGGAGAGCAGGAACAGTAGACTGAATGTGGGGTTTGTGAGAACCCTCCTCCGTGATCCCTGACTCTGAGGAGTAAGCCTGGCACTCTCTGCAGAGGTGCTGCCTAGACCAGACTTTTGGAAAGCATCAAAGAAAAATATTATCAAACCCTAACTGAATATACTGCATTTTAAGAAGTCTGTAATTCCCTGGTAAGTGAAGGAAGCAGGATGTAAAACAGTATTCAGAGATGCCACTTTTTAGATGTATGTACACCCATATCTGGGAGTCCCGGGTGGCTCAGTGGTAAAGAATCTACATGCCAACGCAGGAGATGTGGGTTCTATCCCTGGGTCAGGAAGATCCCCTGGAGTAGGAAATGGGAACCCACTCCAGCATTCTTGCCTGGAGAATTCCATGGACAGAGGAGTCTGGTGGGCCGCAGTGCATGGGGTTGCAAAAGAGTCAGGCATGACTAAGTGACTGAGCACACATGCCCAGCCACGTCTGTATGCTCTAGATAAGCTTGTGCGTGTACACACAGGTGTATACAGGGACATACATGGTGAATGTTCATATAAGTCACTTTCTCTGGGTGGCTGGAATACAAACACTCTTCTGATCAGAAAGAGAAGCCTTCGGCTCAGGACTCACGTTTTGAAAGGACATTAAAAGTCACATTTCTAATGTCACCAAAAGAAGGTATTTATTACTTTTAACACAAAAAGTTTTATTGCCAGAATTTTATTGTTGTTGCATGGAGATAGTACCGGTTTGAATGCGGAATGTTTGAGAAGTGTGTTTCCAGCCAGTGGCCCTCAACTCTTCCGTAGCCCTGGTCTGCTACTAGAAGCTAAATTCCCGAGTGGACTGCCCAACGACGCCTCCAGCTGTCCAGGATTTCTGCTTCCTCCACAAAGCATTTTTCCACCACTTTCTCCCAGTTTTCCTACAGCAGACATGACACAAACCAGACAGAGGATCAGAAAACCTGGGTTGGAGTCCAAGCTTCAACACTTACTGGTTTGTGTCATTGGGATAAATTAACTTCTCCAAGTCTCTCTCCATGTAAAAATGGAGATTCGTAACTACCCTAGGATTTCCTTGGGAATTTAACCAGATGATACATGCATATATATAAATGTACATAAATATAAACAAAACCAGGTGATGCGCGCTGAGTCCCGAAGGCTCAGACAAACGCAAGGCGGGGGTCTGTCTCGGAGAACCCCGTGGAGAAGAGCCTGGCAGGCTTCAGTCTACAGGGTCACCGAAAGTCGGACACGGCTGAAGCGACTTAGCACATACACAGTTTATCTAAATCAATCCTGTACTAAACAAAACTGTAAACATGTGTAAAGCTAAATCGCTAAGTCCTCTAAAACAAAAACAGGCAAACTGGGAGACTGGAGCAAGAAAGAGCAGGCCTTTCACAGGGCATTCAGCTGCCTTTCCTGGGGCAGGACCGCTCTGCACCCAAGCTGGGAGAGTCAGCTTAGTTTCAAGCAAGGGGCTCGGCTGGTGGCACGGTAGCTAGGATGTCACCTTCCAATGCAGGGGGTGCAGG